CCCCAAAACCCCAAAACCCCAAAACCCCATAGTATCACATTTTGATTGGATTTGAAGGAAAAATATCAAATAAATTATTTATAATTATTAAATATTAGATGTCCAAAAGCCAGAAAAATAAGCAAATAACATTTTTTCTACATTTACATCAGTTATTTCAAATGAATGGAAGATCTATTAAACTTTGTTTTAAATAGCGATACTTTACAGGCTTATTTTTACTGATCATTTTCATTTACTATTCTAGTAAATCTGATAAGTTATATACAACGTTGATTATAGTGTCTGAATTATTTGTGTTTTCATCAATTTCATTTGGCTCACTATTAATTGAGTCCTTTTCCATATGCTTCAATGCTTAAATTTATTATTCATTTCTATTATTACCTCTTTTTGATTTGTTAATGGGAATGATTTGAGGGTTATTAAAAGTAAACTACTAATTAGAATATTTGCAAGCAGTCACATTTGTTTAGGTGTAAAGCATTTATTTTTAAGGTTTAGAGATGACCTATCAATTAATGAGTGGAGTTTGGACAGCCGTAGAGATTAGATTCTAATTTAATTCTCTTATTTCTTGGCTAGAAATAATCTGATGGTAGTCCAGCTGTTAGATACTTCTGCAATCCTTGATTAATTACCTGTCATTATCGCTTTAATTTGGTTGAGATGCAAGCATGTTGAGAAAAAGTGCTTTGATGATCTCATTTTTAAACGGTAAGAACCATTCATCCATTAATGCATCTTAGGCTGTGACTCTCTATTAAGGATCCTTATGAACAAGTAACTTGAGTAAATTCTTACATGCCTCAGGAATCACTTTGAATTGGCAGTCTATTATCTTTCCAGGATTCATAACTTTATTCATCTTGATAAGGTTATCAATATTCCAAGCATCAACGAGGTTTTTGCCATATAGCATAAGGTAGAATATGCACCCAATACTAAATACGTCAACTTTATTATCATATTCATGAGTTTAGAAGACCTCAGGCGCAATGTAGCCCGGAGTGCCTACTTTGTGAGATTTTGCTATTGAATCATCAATATTACATGATAACCCAAAATCCGAGATTATCAACTTCAATTATTCTCTGTCTTCAATGAGTATATTTTCTGGTTTTAGATCTCTGTGAATTATGCCGCATCTTTATATATAATCGCAAGTAAGAAGGAGTTATATCATTATCAATCGAAGTTGGTCCTCTGAAAACAATTTTTTATTTTCTCTCATTATACTAAGCAGGTCCTTATCCTTATAATACTTCATAACAATGTAAATTGAGTCTGATTCCATGAATACTGTTTTTATCTAGGATATTTACGCGCATTAAGAGAGAGCTCTTAGATATTAAATTTCATTTATTATTAATTCCTTTTATTGCTCATTTTATATTTTGTATATTTTTGTCACAAGGCTTTATTATTATTAACTCTGGGATTCCTCTCCTTAGCAAGTTTAAATTTTATCACATTTATATATTTTTGCCTATGATCCTTTGCATACATATTCTCCTAGGGTATACGTTTCATTAAAATTAGGTGAAGTTATTATGCAGTATTTCTCAAGATGGCATCCAAGTAGTTATGAGTCTTTATTGTTTTGTTAATTAACTTTTATTACAATTGTTTGAGAATTTTCCATACAATGAAGAATAAAAGTATTCTCCTTAACGTTTATTTCAGCTCTAAATCTTGTTAAATCGATTGATTTTTTTTAGCTTGCTTGTTATTCTAAAGTCAAAAATTTATTTAACCTATTAATTTCTATCTAAGTAGTCACTAGAAATACTCCGGACTACAACTTCATAGAGTCATATTAAAGTAGTTATTAATTTTCTATTTTATCAATAATTCTCATTTTTACTATTAAGGTTATCACTTTTGATTGATCATTATCGTTTAGCACTTATGATTGTTTTATTTATTGATTTTAAAGTAAATTTTGCTAAAGGCGTTAAACAGTAGGGAGGCTATGTATATTATCCAATGGATATAGATGCAATTTTTGATATATCAAGCAATTAAAGTACTGTCTATATGTGCAGCTAATATGAATCTCCTATAAATCTAATATATTCAAGGCTTAGATATAATAACAAATTTTAACAAGAGGCATAAGACCACACCTACTTCGGCTAGAGTTCAGATACCATAGAATGCAGAGGCATTTATGCATACTAAAATGCATTCGCTTATGGCTATGTTTTTTATCCAAAATCTTCTAGATTTTGCTTGATTAAGCTTAATTTTGCTCTATCAACTTTAAAAGGAACAGAGATAGAATTCGTAGCTATGAGTCGAGGTGTTAATATATTAAAAGCTGCTGTTTTTGACTCATTCACTAATTCTTATATTGTCGTAAATGTTAAGACTATTTTTAATGGAAGCTCAGTCTTTAAATCATATTCAAAATATGTAGGAGCACTAATGTCTTATTACCAAGGGCAAAGCTGTTTATAATTAATTTAACCCTCGACGTTTAAGTAATGGTCTAAAGCTCCTTAATTGGCTTTCTAGGACATAAGTTCAAGTGAATTTCTAGATGATACTTAAGATGGTTATTCTTTCATAAAGTCCCTTATAGATATTACTTAAAATCTTAATGATTGGTGCACAGATTACCTAATTTCCATTGTTTAAACTGAAAATTTTACTATCGAGTATAATCTTTATACTGGTCCTTAAAATTATGATATTCAAAATTTTAGT